CCCCAAAACCCCAAAACCCCAAAACCCCAAAACCCCAAAACCCCAAAACCCCAGTACATATTAAAGAAAAGGAAATTTTAGATAATAATTAATTAACCAACAATTCTTATATATGCAATCAACACTCCTTGCTAGGTAAGTTTCTCAAACTAGGCTCTTTTCTCGGCATCCAACCTGAAGTAGCCTTCCCAGCTCATGGTAATTGGTAATGGAAAGGCCAAAATATCTATTCAAACCTTCTTTTATATTTTCCATAATTTGGTTAAATGGCTGACGTTTTTATAGTACCAATCCAATTTCAGAAGACAACCAAAAAGAATGAGACACCTCCGCAGTGTTTTCTAATATGGAAGAAACTGTGAAAAGTGTCAGTCCTTACTGTCTGTGAGATGTTCCAGAAGAAGCAATGAATGCATTAATTCAGCTGAGTTGTTGCTTCCAATACTCACCTAGTACTTGGGGAGCATTACCTCCTTTGAACGCATTCTGGACACCCCAAAATCAGATTGAGGACTATTATAATCAGTTTGGGTTACCTTTGCCATACTATTCTTGCTCTACCCTCTCAGGAGGCCAAAATCAGAATGAAAAGTATGACTCTAAGTCAGAGTCTACTACAAAGGACTTCTGCTCGACTGATGAGGCTCAATTGGCCTTTTCCAAGATAGGTAAGAAATCGAGGAATCAATGACATTTCGGTTTACACATTTTTGAATTATCATAAATCTCACTATTAACAATTACGTAATAAGTTTGTGAACAAAATCGATGAACATGAATAACCTTGCTTTATAGATGCTAAATCTCAAGAAGTTAATAACACCAGGTCCAAGACAGAAAACCTAGATGCCTACATTGAAGAAATTGTCTATAAGGCAAAAGACACTAAGAGAAACAGAGTGGTTTATAAATGCAAATTTGAAGGCTGCTCTAAGAAATGCTCCAAGAGATGGAACCTCATTGACCACATTAAAATGCATTTAGGGGTGAAGCCCTATGAGTGCGACCAATGTGGCTCTAGGTTTACCCAGAAGGGTAATCTGAAAAAGCATCTTAAAGTGCACCTTATGCCAAGTTTAAACCAGCGTAAGGTACATAAGTGCAAGTACTGCTCTAAGTCCTACACTGAGCGGTACAACTTGATGCATCATATGCAAACCCACTTGTAAATATCCACTGGTGTTTGCTATATACGATATAAAACTCTAGAATAGAGTCTTTTACCATAAATCTTCATTCAACCACTCTCTTTCATTAAGGGGTTTTGGGGTTTTGGGGTTTTGGGGTTTTGGGGTTTTGGGG